TCTATCTTCATTGATTCTAAAACTATTAACTGTATGGGTACAAACATTTCCCCAGTTGAAGATGGCCTTTATTTTTTCTCCTGGGACATCATTTCATTTTCCCTCTCTTCTTAGCATTTCCAAAGAACCATCATCCTCAGCATGATCAGACTTGGACCAGATCTCTATATTAGCAGTACTGTGCCACATCTCAAGGGGAAACATGCTCAGCTGGTGGGCTTAGAATCAGGAGCTGTGGTAATATATTATGTCCCCCAATATAATGTACATACTAATAAACTTATCTGGGGTTAGAGGACAAAACAGCCACTAGATAGACATAGAGGCCAGAAAGTGGTGGCATATATGCTTTTAATCCTATCACTTGGGAGGCATCCGGATCTCTGTGAGTTCAAAGCCACACTGGAAACAGCCAGGCATGGTGACTCATGCATTTAATCACAGGAAGTGATGGCAGAAAGTAGAAAGGTATATAAGGCATGAAAACCAGGAACTAGAGCTGGTTAAGCTTTTAGACTTCTAACAGCAGTTCAGCTGAGATCCATTTGGATGAGAACACAGAGGCTTTCAGTCTGAGGAAACAGGATCAGCTGAGGAACTGGTGAGGTGAGGTGGCTGTGACTTGTTCTGCTTCTCTGATCTTTCAGCATTCACCCTAATACCTGTCTCTGGGTTTGTTTTCATTAATAAGAACTTTTAAGATTTGTGCTACAAGGAGTCACATGTACAATTAGTAAACACAATCCATATGCTCTTTCTGCTGATTAAGGACATGTGATTCTCATCAAATTGTCTAGTAGGTTCTATATTTCCTAGTGTGTGGCTCTAACACTGTCTCCATGGGATGATGTACCCCTAGTATGAAATACTACAAGTGACATTGACTCCTATCATATGGGGAATCTGCCTTCTGCAAAAGTCTGGACCATTTTACACGCATTCTCTTCCAGGATGTCAGCCCAAAGGAGTCATGTACAAGATCACTTGCTACCAATGTTTGGCTTGTAGCAGAGAAAATAATTTCAAGTGATGGTAGGAGAAAGATAACTAGCTTTTGGAGTTAGAAATGTCAGGATTGGGTATACACGAGCTTTGGAATATTTTAAAGATATGGAGCAATGAAGAAGTGTTGCTTGCCTTACAGATATGTCAGCTGAATGTGAGTAATTTATGGGACAAGTGGTTGGATAGTTTCTCAGGATATTTGCATTAAGAATGTCTGTACCCCAGGATCCCCCAAAATTCTACAGGAGCAAAATATTATTCTCTATTTCTTAAAAAATTTTCAACAATTATTTTTCCTTTCAAAGCCCCTTTATCTGTATATGACCTTAAAGCTTTCATCACAGCATTAGAAAAGCAATCTGCTTTCTTCAAATGCTCCAGGTCTTGCTGCTCATTATTGAAGTACATGAGAGGACAGATTCCATGTGGATCTGCCTAGAACTAACATAGAAACATACCTTCTTATAGCTTAAGAGGCTACACAGTACAAAGGAAAATAAATGGTATTTTAAGCATGTTTACTTTCATAATTTTAGAAGAGTCAATTTTTCATCAGAGCACAATCACAAGAAGGGATGAAGAAGGCTGTTTTTTTAATCCTCCTGTGAAAATACCCACTGTCTCTATGCTGTCTGTTTACAATGTAAAACTGGTAATTCCATGGTCTCATGTGGCTGCTTCTTTCCGACACATTCATTCTCTTTACTGTTTAAAAACTTGATTATCAAGCAGCTTTCCTTCCATCTTCCATATGCTGAAGCCCACCAATGCTTCCTTCTCTTGTCCATGTCCATGATTAAAATTGGTTTCTATCATAGCTTCAAGGACTCGCCTCTAACCTGTTCCCATTATTTCCTCTTTCACTCTTGATTATCAATCAGCATATGTTTTCCTACCACTTTCTACTTCTAGAATTGGGGTGTTTCTAAATGTCAAGATATTTTAAGGAGTGTTTTGAAAATACTACCAAAGCAACGTAAGACTTCAGTCAGACTTGGAAAAGGAAAGGGCAAGGAAGAAAAAAAAAAAAAAAAAGAACAAAAACAAAAAAACACTCATGAGACCCTTCTTATCTTGTTTATTTATGCACAAGCTTGAAGACTAGAAACAATAGTGATAGTGTTTGCTACCACCCAATAGATCATGTCTTACTAATATGGGTAATTTTTAAAAAAGGTGTGATGATTAACCTTGATTGTCAATGTGACACGTAGATTCTGGAATTTACTAGGAGATATGCTTCTGATGTGTCTGTGAGGGTGATTTCCAGGAATTTGCTAATGGGGAAGACCCACCATCACCGTTTTTGGCACCTTCCAAGGAGCTGACCAGATAGAAGGATGTTAAAGGGAAAAGCAGTGTTTGCCTGCCTTTGAGTGAATGCATTCATGCTGCTGCTGCCATCCTGGATGGACATTAGATTCCAGAACGTTTGAACTTCCACATGAACTGAAGACCAGCAGCTCTCCAGGACTTTTCCAGGCCTTCCAAGTCCCCAGATTGGGACTACTGAGACACCCTACCTAGCAGCTACCAGATTCTGAGTGTCTGGAGTGTGCAGATGGCCACTGTTAGGTTACTCAGTCCCTACTGAGTAAACCATTCTAGTAAACACAATTTTATGCATAATTATAATTTTATAAATAACATGTAACTAGTTCTTTCCCTAAAGAAATCATTGCCTCATAAAAAAGAATGTATGTAGAGAGAATAAGAGAATGACTTTGGATCATCAGTAACTTAGTAAATGTGACCCTAAGAAGAGTACAACAGAAAGACACAAAATACTTTTTCCATTTCAGTTGGTAGATTGATCATATTTGTTTTTTATAAACTTTAATTCTCTATGCTCAGTACTGAGATGTGGTTATCCATAGAACATTCTGGGTTAGAGCATGCAAAAAGACAAGTCTTGGCCTCAGATAGGAACAAACCTAAGTTCCATTTTGACAATCCATTCCACCTCCAGCCATTCTACAGAACATCGGATGTCAGAAACACTCTGGAAACTGTCATCCATCATCTGCATACTGTCGTACACTTGAGTGTTCCCTGTCTTACAGACAAATTATCCAGATGTCAAACTAATTTTTTCAGTTTCCACTTGAAAGCTTTGTGTCACCTAGGTCTAGTCAACATTGAATCAATTTTATTCATTTTCTTTCCAACAATAGAAAGACCATGTTTCTGAGAACACTGTGCTGTTACATATTGTGGTCTGAACAGAGAATGCAGTTACTCTGACATTCTAGTTAACCATAACGCCTCCAATACGTGTGTCCTACTGATTTTGCAGCAATATTTTTATTCTGGTCTCTTTACCATACATCTTATTTTTCATAGAAACTTCTGAGAGAGAGAGAGAGAGAGAGAGAGAGAGAGAGAGAGAGAGAGAGAGAGAGAATGTATACGTATGTATACATGTAATGGCCAGGGGACAATCTTGGTCCCTTAGCCATGATCATTGCCTCTTCGTCACAATCCTCCTTCTGTTTTGAGACAGAGCCTCTCACTGACCTGGGGCTCAACCATTAGGGTAGGATGGCTGGTCAAAGAACCTCAGGATTCTGTCTCTGCCTCTCCAGTGCTGGTATTTAAGTGCTTTTCCCCATACCATTGCTTTTTCTCCAATATAAGTTCTGGGAATTGAACTTCGGTACTCATGCATGTATGATATGAACCTTAGTGCCTTAGGTTTCCCTTTGCCCTGGTCCTCAGTATGCTTGATCACACTGAGTACACACTGGAGTGTGCTGGGATACTGGAAAGTTACATTTCAAATGTCAAGGGTTACTGGAGAGGAGAGTTAGGCTCTATCCAGCCTTTCACAGTTATTCAGTGCTCAAGTTAAAGATCAGCTACAAGATTAAATACACATCAATATCAAATTTGATCAAACATAACAGTATTTGCTCTTCTTTTGGCAGCTGTTGCCTTAGCTCATTCTCTTTCCCTCACTTCCCCATATTCTCTCCAAAGGTGATTGGAGCTCATTCACCATTTTGGGGGGCTCATTGTATCCTCAGAGTTGCAGTAATCCTCTTGCTACAGAACCGTGTTATGTTATTTTTTTATCAGTTACTTTTCACCCAGTTTTCTCCTTCACAAATTAGCTGTTGTCGACTCCATTGACAGATGCTAATACAAGCATTATTTTCTCAAGGAAATCTTTGGAAAAAAGCTCATGCTATCAACACAACTGAAATTCCTTTGTTATATGTTCTTGAAATCTAAGCTCACACCTAGTTTATATGACAAGTTCACTGGAGCAATTTCAATGGCCTTTGTCTATTCCAATACTACATTCTAAGCCTTGTGAAAGCTGAGGCCCAGACTACTGGGCTTACCATTTGACCAGCACAGCTAGAATGGTGCTTAGCAGAAGGGAGATTACTTAATAAATGTCTGTGAATGACTAAATGAACTAATGTCTGCTTTCCCCTTTACCTATTTATAAACACACTTTTTACTGGGAAGAAATTCACAAAAGATTTCTATGAGAAGCAGTGAATACTTTAAGCATATATTAAGTAGCAAATGACTTTCACCTATACATTATGAAAACCATTAAGAATGTTCATTATTATAAACTCAAGCACTCTATAAACTTGATCAGATATACTATGGATAATAACAGTTGCCACTGGTCCTGGTTTGGGATGTCTTAGGGCTTTTGTTTTCGTGAAAAAGACTTCATTCTCCTGGCCAGAACATGAGCTAATATTTATTAACAGGAGTATTTGAAGCAACAAGATCCCAAGGATCACTGGAAATGCCAATTACAGTGAGATGGACAGGCAGAAAAGAACACATTCTTTTCTCTCTTTCCTTTGACCTGCAAGAGTTATACTGCTGTTCTGTTTTCTGAACAATCTAGTAAAATTCAATTTACTTTTTCAATTTGTCTCCAGCCAGGCTTCCTTCTGTCAACTATGCAGACATCTCAGTGCTGGCCACGTAAAGTCACAGGAGGAGGACAACAGGAATGAAATTACCTGTGCATTTGCGATCTGTGTCTTCTTTTTTGGACCCACTAATTGTCAACTTGCAGTTGAAGTTTTCTTCCCAGTATTCAGCAAACCACACATTTCTCCTGTTGTTTTCAAGTGTTCTGGATGTGAAGTAAGCATCAAACCCTAAACAGAGTTAAATGAGAAGATCAGAACTCATGGAGATCATTGCTTCCATATGGTAAATAAATTAAAGAAAAAAAAAAAGGACCAGTGATATTTTGTAGACTAGAGGATTTATTTATTTGTGTCCATCAATAGAATAGATGGACGAAGATCAAATACACATACAATACACACACTACACACACACACACACATATATATGTATATATATATATATATATGAGATAAACTATAGAGAGGTCTCTAATTCAATAAGTGATGGACAAGTGTGGTCTACAAGCACTATTTTCACTGTGAAATTCACACTGAAAACCTTTGGAATGCTATAATAAACAAAAAAATGCTTTGCATTCATAGCTAAACCAAGGACAAATGTCTTCGACTGTGATGATTAGTACTGTCACCTTAAAGGTCTTGACTCATCTAGGTGACAAATCTCTGGGCAATGGGGATTGCTTCGATTAGACTAGTTGAGGTAGGAAGACCCACCTTAACTGTGGGCAGGACCATTCCATGGACTGGGGTTCTGGACAGAATACAAAGAAAAAAGCAAGCCCAATACTAGCATTCATTGCTCTCTGTTTCTGTGGCCACACTGTAAAAACTGCCTACTCAAATACCTGCTTCTGTGTTTTCTGTGTCATAATGGGCTGTACCCTCCAACTGTGAGCTTCTGTGAACTTGTGCTTCTTTAAGTTGCTTTGATCAGGTATTTGGTTGTAGCATTAAGGGAATTTACAAATACACAATATACAAATTTTTTCATCTCCAGATAATAACTGATGGTTTAAATGCTTAGTATAGACATGGCTGTGCAGTAATTATTATCATTATTCTCACTTGGTACATGAGAAATCAGAGTCTTAGAAAAAAAAATACAGCATGCCCAATGTCAACCATTATGCTCTAGTCTACATTTTTGGCTATTTCAGCTGCTGGTCATTGAGTAACTTTTCAAGGCCTTTTTCTTTCGGTGTTGTCCCATCATGGAATTGACTTCCTAGTCAAAGGGGAAATAAAATTGATTTAGGCGAGGCCACAGGTAAATAAGACTGTCACTTTGTTGTTATCATGGCACATCCACATTAGCACAGACTCAAGAGTCCAAGTACTATATAATTCTCTAGCTGTTGCTTCTGGAATGGGTAACTTCAAATATTACAATGAATCTATGAGGTCTTAAGAGGATAAAGGTGCCAAAGAAATGTAAGTTCAGACTCAGACTATCACTTGGACTAGGCTTGAATGCCAAGTCCACTAATGTCACTATGCCACAGAAACAGGAAGTCCACACTTTGAATTGCTGATCTTCCTTTTGTCTACTTGTAGAAATGAAGATGACACTATCTCCTTCTGTCACTCTCCACAGTGCCATCAGTGATAGTAGAAAGAATACAGAAACTTAGGAAGTTTAAGGCCAAGAATCATAGGAGAAGGTGGAACTACTAACAAATACTTAAAGCATCCAGCTTTTTCCATATGCCATAAAAATTGTGCCAATGGTTACAGGGACAAAGGCAGAAAGCATTTTACATACATTTTCTCTTAAGGTGTCACATTAACTCTAAGCAGTGGGTATTACTCAGAGCTGTACTTTAAAGTCAGAAATGAAGATTCAGAAAATTTGATAGCAGGGTGCCGGGTCTACATCCATAACTGTCACATATGCTACACAGCAGGCTTATATTTTGGTGAGTGTCATAATCACTTGGACAGCTGATCAGGGAAGTGGAGCCCAGATTAACTGAGTAAGAGGGGAAACTGGGTTTTTGTTTTCTCTTTCATCATCTGGAAATTACCATACGTACCAAAGTTCTAGAAAAGTCCTGTGGAGTTTGCTGTGACCCACATACCATGCCATACAAGCAGAAGATAAACAATTATGTATGTGGTCAGGGGATAGAATTGGGAAATCAATCAAGGGTTGTGTGGTTTGACGGTGATGGGGTAACCCAAGTTCAGAGAACAGATCCTCTCACACAAACCCAAAAAAGCAGATGCATAGTCAAAATGGTATCATCCACTGAGGCTCTTCTTGATGCTTGGTTTGGCTTGTCTGAATCAGACTTCTTACAGAACCTGACAACACGATTCCACCTTTTATCAGCTCATGGGGGAAGAAAAATGGATTCTTGTTAGTTCCCTCTATATATTTCCATTCAGAAAGAAGGAAAGTATCCACATGTGAGACCTCCAAGGTTTGAAAAGCATCTTATTACAGGCAGATATTTACAGTGCCTGAGAATACACTTGGAAGCCCTTCCAGTGAGGTGCACTTTGTAGCGCTCCTTACTAACAGATAACGTGTTTCTGACGTCGAGGTGGGACACAGCCTCCCCTCTGCCTAGGCATTTAAGTCCCTACCTATAGTCTGTCACTACAGTTTCAGAAACCTGAAGATTTCCCTTATCTTCTGTGAGAAACAGGGCACTTCATATAAAATGTTTAGTGACCCAGGTGGGGCAGAGACTTAGGAATAGAATCAGACATTAGAATAACTAATAACAGGACTCCTTCCTTCTCCATCTCCCTCCCTCTGCTCCCGTGGGAAATGAGATTTCTCCCCATGTCCATTAAATTTCAGAAGAAAAATGATCTGAACACATATCAGTACAATTAAGAACATTACCAGAGTTTTGAAATTTAACCCAAGGCACCAAGTCCCACAGTTTTGATTCAAAGGAAACATAATCAAAGTTTTGTTAAGGGAAAACTATCATTCTTTTACATGAAGCAGATGGAATTCTTAGTGGGAACTTGTTCCTTTGGTTGAGCAGATACATTTCATTTTCTAAATTCCATTCTAGGCTAGTCTGAAGCAGTGTCCCACTGGTACATGTTCAGCAGAACTGCCATCATCTCCATACAAGAGGGAGAAAGAGTGGAGCTTCAACAGGCATTCCAAACAGTTCTAGCCTGGTTCTGTCCTCTTTGAAATGAGGAAATGATCCTCAGTTACCACTTGGAATCTGTGGAGTGTAACTTAATAGACGTGTGATTCATCCTGGGGACCATGATTAGTAGGTGGACCTTCTAGTTGACAGGCAAAGGAAGGTCTCACTAAATGGTGATATGAGGAATATTAATTATCAGGTGTCATTAGCAGGTCACAGAGCAGAAGAAGGCTTTACATGCCATCTAATACACCTGAAATGTACAGCAGCTGAGGCTGCTAGGTTTTCAACTCCAGGAGTACATCCTGGATGTCAGAGGAACATCCTCACAAGTCCAAGTGGCAAACAACACCAGAGCATTGAACTTTATACCCCAAGTGCAAGGGCTCTTAATTCTTCTTACTGCCTTGCTTCCAGCTCAGGAAGCCCATGCTGATGTTTAAAGAACACAATACTCATCACAGTACACAGATCTAAGCTGTCATGTAGGCTTGACAATGAAACTCAGATCCTCTGGAAAATCAGAAGACCAATCTGGGCATTTTATATTTATAGGATGGATATGGGGCATTCTACCATTGTTAGGTACATCTCTCTCCCTTCCGTGCATGTATGCTGAGTCCTGAGCTGTGTCTAAGCTCCATTGCAATGAGAAAGATTGTTAGATGTCATGAATGAAGTACATGACTAAACCAATAAAAATGTAAGGAACTTAGGAAAGGATCAAGATAATCATCCATATTTATACACCCATATAACAACTTGTTAGAAGATGGAATAGAAATCCATAGTTGAAATAGCTACACACAAAAAGTAAACACAAATTAAGTTACTTTATAATTTATATGGGAAAAATATACCAAGGCCATAATTTTCTGAGAAAAAATAGGAATTTTCCATGATTCCTTGAGGGTGGGGGGACAGAAAGGAGAAAGAGAGTTAACCATATTGAAAATTCCATGATTAAGCAATTCTAAATTCCCTTGGATAAAAGAGGAGAGGACCTGGCACAGCAGAAATGAGACCACACCTCCAAAACATGACAAAAAGACCACAGGTAGGTATGGGAATATAATGTATTGGAGAATAAGATAGCCTTTCACATCTATAGGGAAACAAAGCTCCTCCTATAATCATCTAACAGTCATCAACTTATTGGGGGTTAGGGATGTGATCTCATCCTATTTCAGGAATTAAACATCATCTAGCCCCCAAGATATATTGGAAAACCTCAGGTAGACAACTCTAAATGAGAGTCAATGATTTGGGAACTGTCTTAGAGGATAACTGTTAATCACATGGTTAAAGGAACTGATAGGGGTTGGGGGTATCCTGCACCGTTGACTCAGGTACTATGTAGAGTTTTATTGTCATGCCTCCCTTCTTGGTTCCACACATGCCTGCATATTCCTGTCTTGATTTTCAGGCATAGAGGTCATAGTCTGCACCCAACTAATATCTGACTTTCTAATTTGCATTTCTGTAAAGGTGAACTAAAGTAAATTAAGTTAAAGAAAAATAAATCACTTTGGATCACCTCATGGGATAAAGCTAGACAGAGTGCACCTAGAAATTCTTTGACTATGTCTTTTGATGAGACTGGTGGCAAGCAGGCATGATTTTTGAGCAAATAAAAGTCATTGCAATGGAAGTTATTCCACAAAGAACAAACCATTCCATGGGAAATGTTTATGGATGAGGCAGATAGAGTAAGATACACAACATTATTCTAAGAAAAATGCACCAATTCCTAGTGTCTGGTGAGGTGATCATCATTCTGGATTCAATTAGCAAAATAGTAACCCTTGAATAATACATGCATGACTGAAATCACTGGCTAACTTTAACACAATGACCTTTAATTCATGTTTTCACAAACGACACAATTTCTTTTCTTTATTCTTTGCTTATGCACTTATTGATTCTGTATATGAAACAATCACATGTAGGGAGAGAAGAGGAAGGTGAGTAGGGCTGTGTATGGGTACTTTTTATAAAATTTCCTACAGATTCCATATAATATTTAGGCTTCTGCAAGTATTAAAACTTTGTAGAATGGTCATTCTCTAAGACAAGGTAATTTTGGTTTCTATGCAAACATTTCAC